TCGAGTCCCGGTACTGCGGCGCCAGGCTGGGGAAGCTGTGAGGCGATTGGCATGAGGCGCCCAGCCGGACCTCTGCTCCCCGCTGGGCTCTGTCCTGCAGCGACCTCCCCAGGGCCCCACCCTGCCCCTCGGCCCCTCGGCCCTCACGCGGGCGGCCCCAGCGTCTCCTCCAGAAACTCCTCGATCTGCAGCGTGTCGGTCTTGGCGTCCCCGTCATAAAGCAGGATGGGCAGCTGTGAGCCTGGCGCGAAGTCCTTCAGCACGTCCAGCGCCCTGTGGGTACCATGCAGAAGGGAAGTGGCTGCCCCAGGTGAGAGGGGCGGGAGGCAGGGGCAGGACAGAGTCTCACCTGCGTGTGTCCACGGTGGTGAGGGTGAAGGGCGCGCCCTTGAGGAGGAGGACCATGAAGAGCCGCTGGCAGGATGGGCAGTGCCCTATGCTCTCGCCGTCCTCACTGGCCTGGGCAGGCAGAACGGGCAAGTGGGGCTGCAGCAGACCCAGGAACGCTGCCATCTAGCTGGGTGGGCCCTTGCCTCTTGCTGCCCAGCAACTGGGGCAGGGCACAACCTGTCCAAGGGCCCAGTGAGAGCCCTTGACTGGTGCCTAAGAGGCAGGGAGAGGGCTGGCAGCTGGGCACTGCCCCCCCGGAACTTATCTCAGAGCCTGGACACAGGCCAAGCCCTGGGGCCCTGGGCCCCGAGGTCCAGGTCAGTTGCAGGTGCATGGTGGGCCCAGCCAGCTGTTTTCCAAGTGAGTGACTCACCAAGCTGGGAATCACGGCTGGCATACACGGCTCTCCCAGCTCCAGCATGGTAAGGAGCCAGGGCCTATCAGCCCCCAAACGCAGATCTAGTCACTGACCTGGGGCGGCATCTGCTTGGCCCCGATACTGCTCTACCTCCCCACCAAGGGGCTGGGCCAGCCAGGCCCCAGAGCCAGGCTAGAGCAGGACCCAGCTGCCCCAAGCCTCTCGGAGGGACTGTCCCCGCCTATCTGCCCTTTGCTCAGGGCTGTGTGGGGCTGCAAGAGAAGAGGCTCAGACCCACCACCCAGCTCCTCCCCAAGCCCAGCCGGCCCAGAACCTTCACAAACAGCTGGAGCTTGGCGATTTCAGCCATGGTGAGAATTCAGGTGTCCGGACCTGGCGCAGGGCACAGGGCGGGGACTTTGGAGCTCTTTAAATCTCCTTGGACGCCCCGCCCTGGCTGGCCTGGGGCCCGCCCCATGGAGCCACCCTGCCGGGCAGATGAGCCTGTTGGACTGCACAGCTAGCTGCGGCAGTGCTGGGAGCCTGAGCCTGGGGTGTCCAATTGTGACAGTGACCACAGTGGGATGTCTTGGGGGCCTGGCCAGAGGTGTGCCGGGCTGGCTGCCCCGGACTGAGGCCAGAGTAGGCGTGTGGAGGCAGCCAGTGTGCTGGGTGATGACCAGACGGGGGGG